TGGGTCATCTGTAACCCAGGCGTTCTTAATTGGGGGACTACCTGTATTACATTTAAAAACATCTTAAGAAAAAAGAAAGACTAATGTGGACTGATACATGTCTCTGTGTGTCTGGCTTGAATCTGAAGGCTGTTATTACATCTTTGAGGGCAGTCTGCCTTGAAAGAGGGGGTGGTGCATGTTCTCTTTAAGAGGCCATTTCTCGATTCAGGCCCAGTCGTGCCGATGAATAACCTTCATTTGGGAAAATATTCTGATGACCTTTGTATTCCCTTGGATAGGGGAATATGTGTCTCATGGTCCTATTAGATCTCTCAACAGTGTTTCACAGCATTAACCATAGTATCTTTCTCACTGCACACAAGGTTTGGAAGTCAGAGGTTCTATTTTACAATGTTTCCATTCCTATTTGAGCAGGCAACTCGAGTCAATAATTATGAGGGAAAGTCATCAAGTCTGTGATTACTCCAATATGGAGGAACTGACAGTCCTCTCACCCCATCCATCCATCCATCCATCCATCCATATTTTATTTATGTGATCAGTGGAATTCTAAGTGGTTTACAGCTGATGAAAATCATAGTATAACAACAACAATAGACAAAAAGAAATTACAGTAAGAACAATAACAGATTATGGCTTTCTTAATATAGTAACTATTATAATCAATTTCTATATCAAATTGCTGGTTTGGGTTAAGGCATCATCACTAAATAGTCCCTACAATCCTGGTTGCCATCGTTAACTGAATCCTACAGTTGTTAGGTGAGGCAACTTCCAGTCGGCTTCCCACAACCAAAGTCAGTGGGGAAGCTGGCAGGAAGTTGGAAGTCCCAGGCCAGCAGGCAGTTAAGTGGCTGCTGCTGGGTTGGGGAGAGTGCAGCAAGGGTCAGGGAAGGTGCATGAGAGGCACAGCAAGGGTTGGGAAGGATACCCAAGAGTGTGGTGTGAGTCAGGGAGGGTGTGTGAGAGGCATGGCATGAGCGCAGAGGGGCTGGGGGAGGATGTATGGGTTGGGGAGAGTGACTTGCGACCTTCCCTGCCAGCTTTCCCCATTGACTTTCTGGGGAAGCAGGCAGGAAATATCGCAAATGGCAATCATGTGATTGCAGGGTGCTGCAACCAATCTAAGTGCAAATTGGTTGCCAACTGTCCAGGTCACAATCATATGACCAGGGGAGGCTGGGATGGCCAGAACTCTGAGGACCAGTCGTAACCACCATTCATTCAGCACCACTGTAACTTTGAACGGTCACTGAATGAATTATCATAAGTTGAGAACCACCTGTAATTTATAAAGACAAACTGATGACAACAGGTACAGCAATCAGCGTTTGAACTGACAATGAAGATACTGAAATGGTAGATAACATCTGCCTTTTAGGATGAACAACAACAGTAAAGGAACCAGCAGTCAAGAAACCCTCCACAGACTACAACTTTGTACAGTAGCAGTGAATGCCTTGGAAAATATATTCAGATGCCAGTATGTGTCTATACATACAAAGTTCAAAATTGTTCAGTCAGTGGCTTTCCCTGTGACAGTCTATGGAAGCAAAAGTTGGACTCTGAAGAAACAGCATAGAATGAGTATTGATACAGTGGTACCTCGGGTTACGAATGCCTTTGTTAATGAACTTTTCGGGTTACGACCAGCTCCGGCCGCAAAAATTTACCTCGGTTTGCGA